GAAATGTCCAAAAGTTTTAAGCGTCCGTGTAAGTCTGACATATAATTGCAAGGACATGGTAATGTTTTCAAGTAATACTAAAAGCTGACCTGAAATTGATGAATGAAACCTGACGAAACTGATATTTTTTCCACAAAACAAATAGTAACTTTGCCACAGATCATCAATTCGCGTTGCTTGTTATCTACATTTTGATTTTTTTTTTTTAGCAAATCATTGAAACCGATGCCTTTTTAAAGAATATTTGGCCATAATTTTGAGCGTACTCCTGTTTTCACAGGTTTCCTCATCATGCAAACCTTTATAAAGATACCGCTGGCTACTGTGTTATGCGGGCTGCTCTTACTGCTCATTACCTTGTGTTCTGCAAATGACAACAACAGCAGCAAACCACGTGACAAGGTGAGTTTGTGTAATCAAACATTGTAATATATAGCTTTAATATATGAGAAGTGAAAGTCAGTCAATGGTACCTGAACTATTAACCTGAAAGAACTTAGTGAGGTAGAATGAATGAACGGTGATTTTTTATTTAAGGATGCTTGACTAAGGTTAATTGATTGATTTAATCAATTGATCATGAATTTATAACGGCATGAATTTTTAAATTTTTCATTTAGAGTATTCCTCAACACACGTCACCTAATGGTTCTTGTGGTCATGGTGAGTGTTTCTGTGCACCAGGAATTCCCGGCATCCCAGGAAGCCCTGGACCCGCAGGACCTGGAGGTGTTGCGGGATCACCTGGAAATCATGGACCTGAAGGACCCATGGGCCCACGAGGAAAGAAAGGCGATGAAGGAGACCGTGGAAGACCGGGAGCACCAGGCGTCAAAGGAGTTAAAGGACCTGCAGGCCCAGCAGGTCCACGTGGGGACAAAGGTGAAGCAGGTTCAGCTGGTTCCCCTGGAAATAAGGGTGATGAAGGTCCTCGTGGAAAGCAAGGTCCTTCTGGCCCCAAGGGACTTCAAGGACCCTCAGGTTCAGCTGGTTCCCATGGAAACAAGGGTGATTCAGGTGCTCGTGGAAGTCAAGGTCCTCCAGGTCCAAAGGGTGCTCCAGGATCGTTTGGTCGTAATTGGAAACAGTGCGTTTTTAAGAATCTGGACGATCAAAGGGACTCTGGATTGATAAAGGTAACAACTGAGTTGGTTGTGCTAGTTTTTATAAATCAAGCCAAAGCAAACTAATAAGTCTGGCTTTGAAATTTGCCTTATTACGTGTAAAGCTCATTGGTTAAGTTCTTTGAGAAAAAGATGCGTGTTTCTAAACTTGTGCGAGCTATACTATTCATGGAATGATGCAAAATGCAGGAAAAAGGTCCAAAAACAAGATCAGTTTCAGATATACGTACATCTTTTGGTCTGAATTTGAGTGAAATACGTCATGGCCGACTATACTACTTAATTGTTCCCAAGGTCCAAGCTATCTAGTACAGTTAAGGGTAAAATAATTACAAAAGTAGAATGTCCAGCTCTAGCCCAATAAAGAGTGAGGGGAGTTCCAGCAATCCTCTTTGCAAAAATGAGTTTGCTTGTTGATCCATGTTTAAATTGTTTCCAGGAAGAAATTTCTTACTGATACAGCGAGTGATATACACGGCTTTCAGATCGGTTTTTCCTGAATGTCATGAACCAATTAAACGCACATGTTTAATTTCGGTTCACCTAGTTCAGATCTTTCTTCTTCTGTCGATTTTAAAGGAATGCATTTTCAAGAAAACATCAGATACCACTGGATTGCGTGTCTTCTGGAATGGAAATCTTCGTCTCTATGGCTGCCATCATTGCTGCAGACGATGGTATTTCACTTTCAACGGTGCTGAGTGTTCAGCACCAGCAGCCATTGACGGTATAGTCTACATGGTATATGGAACCAGCGGCAAAAAGAATTTGCACCGTGTACGTCACATTGAAGGAGTCTGTGAGAAAATCCGCAAGGGTACTGTTCGCGTGGGATTCTGGGTGGGCAATTGTGCTGGTTACGGATCTGCTGATGCTCGGACAGGCTGGAACTCAGTGTCCCGGATATACGTGGAAGAATTATCTCCCCCACAGGCTTAATAGCAGCACGGTCAGAGTTTCTGTTTCACTTTTAAAGATAACCATGAACAGAGTAATATTTCGGGGGTAATCAGTAAGCAAACTGAAGTAAATTTTGATTGTTAGAGACAGGAGTCTAGGTTTGCGCAGAAAATCTGTTTGAAAGGTGTAGGATTTAGAGCTTACATTATGTTCACTATTGTCACAAGGTGACAACAATGTTAGAGCGACTCTTTTATGTTACTAAATAAATGGGCTTTAAGATAAAATAAATAGCGTACATTCTGAATTTTATACTACCCTTCGGGACCTTAGCCTGCGTTGCAGGTGCTTGGAAGTATTAAATGAGCGCAAGAAAGAACGGACAAGCGAGGGAGCCCGTTCTTTCTTGCGCCCATTATTTCCGCCTTTTTTCTGATTCTTTAATTTATCATTCAGTGTTATTTTCCTTCGCTTATATTTCTACAAATTAATGAACTGAAGTCAACATTAAAGTCAGAGCAAATGATATATCTTCAGCTGATGGTACTAGAATCGGGGCACCCAACGACCGAATGTTTTAGAAGCCTGTTTGGTAAATTTGTAGCTGCCCTAAATACTATTTATCTGTTCGGATGTCTTAGGTGAACTCTGGTCGTCTCGAAAGTTTTAGTTGCGTAATCTCATCTGAAACTGTTAGCTACCCTGATGGGCCCGGTCGAAAGTTCCAGAACATGGAGTAGCGGCACCTTAAATAGAAGATTCTACGGAACGTTTTGAATTTTTACCGAAATATTTAGGAGACCCTTTTTTAACAATAATCGGCGCAATATCTTGGTTACCCTGGGTGCCAGAGGGTTTTTTTCCCTGTTGTTTGACGCAAAAATTGAGCGGCGAGGCCGCGATCGTGTCGATGGCGATTGCCTCTCAATTTTCGCCGCAAACAACAGGAAAAAAACCTCTGGCACCCAGGGTATATCTTGGTATTAATAAAATGTGAAAAACACAACCTCCCAAATTAAAAAAAAATCGTATGAAACCGAGTATCCTTAGAAGAATGTAACTTTTATCCTGAACAACTTAGTCTTTCCGCAAGCTACAGAATGATTTGTAGGCATTATTTTATCATTCGAACCGTTTTTTTTTTACTGAAAAACATTTGTTAGCTGCCCCTGATAGAAATTTCATTTTGAAAGTGGCCGTGGGACTGTCGTTAGAAAATGCTGCTGATAATTGCGTTCGAGGTACGAGAACGCAACCCCTAATTTGTGTCGGGTGTTCTGTGCATTATAGGGTGTCCTGTGCAATTAATTTCGAGATTGCATTCGTCTTCGACCCCGCTTGCTCACGTTTTGCCTCACTTTGACGCGCTAACTCACGTGGTGATTCGTGTGTCGGCGTTCATCTTTCAAACGTTTGCTGAGGTCTGCTATTCTGTCTTCGTAAATCGTTCATCTTTTAAAAGTGGGCTGAATCTTCGTAAAGCGTACATATTTTGAGTTTGCTGAAGGTCTACTATCGATCTGTGTTTACTGAATTTTCCAAAACGTTCATCTTTCAAAAGTGTGCTGAAAGTTTACACCCTGAGTTTGCTGAAGGTCTACTATCGATTCGTGTTTAATGAATCTTCCAAAGCGTTCATCTTTCAAAAGTGTGCTGAAATTTTACACCCTGAGTAAAATTTTACTTTGGATTAAGCCTTCAAAAAACAAAAAAAAACAAAAAGTTCTTTTTACACGCCCGAAGCACCCTGGCCAGTGTCTCCTCAAATAACAAGCATTTGAGACGAACCATACGATATCACGCTGATCACTAGCCTTCAAAACCTTTTCATAATGATACACAGTTTAAATCGAGGTTTCACTGTTCAAAATATGCCATAATCACAGTTATCTATCGCAAGAACCATCCACCCTGGCCCTCAACTGCTACCTGTACGCCTAGCAAACATATCGAACGCACTCTCCTAAGCTCTGATTACTCCTAGTTTTACAAGTAAAGAGCTAAAACTGAGTTCGTACGGAGAATAAGGTTACGAAATATGACCGCGATGCTATAATGGTGAAATTTTAGAACACAGAGAGATCTTTTCACACTTAAATTTTAGCCACAGCCACTTCGCTGCGGATGCCAAACATTCACACATGAAATCAAATTGCTGTTGACCTACGCGGCAAAATGTTTGACTGTTATGGATTTGTTGCCCGAGGAGGTAACATTTGAGCCTTTAGGTAATTTATTCGTTTGTCAGGGAAAAAGTAAAGTGTTTGACGAGAAATCGAAACGGTTCACTTATTAAAGAAATATTGGAACAGTTACGGCTAGCTGTGCAAGCACGGGTGTATTAATCACGTAGTCCGACCTGTAAGCTTGTGAGAGTTACACTGCTATGTAAAGCTTCTCAGATGATCATAAACGAGTGCGCATGCCTACGATCAGGCATCCAAAAATCCAACAACCAAATTTACAGAATGGTATGCTATCTCTCTAATGCTCCCGTGCAATTAATACTGGTTATTCACTTCATTGATCAGTCACAAGCTCCACGTTACAAATGAGTCGCGTGATTGACGTGACGCGCTCTGACATCGATTTCCCTCCATGGGTTTGACAACACTGTAAACTTCTTCTTAAAAAAAGTAGATAAAATAAATAAATAAAAAACGCCCTCTTCCTATCCCCACCATATTTATAGCACTAGAACTAAAGCTAATCTGCTAATGTGGCTGAATTAACCAACTAACACCTGAACCTCCCGTGGGGATCCTCGTCCCTTTTACTACTTGTCACGTCATCAGTCTAAGTAACGGTCATAGACAACTTTGACAATCTAACTTGTTCGGGAGAAAAGACCTTTCAAACCTTAACCCGAAAAAGCATGATTAAGTCAAACAAACCAGAGAAAACTACATACAACCATGTAACGTTGACCAGAAAGTCCGAAATTCCACATAGGCTCTCCAGTACTTTCTTTCAAATAATTTCACCATCCTCGGGATTTAGGCGGAAACATTTCCCACCAAAATGAAGCCTAATATATGTGCGGTAAAAGAAAAAGCAGGGAAATGAGAAAATTTGCGTTTTCCGCATTCCAAACTTAAAAAGCTACAATTTTGCATCTGGAAAACTGAAGCTGCAGCTTAGTGATATGTTATGGGCAGTTTTGGGTCTTTTTTGGCTAAACAGAAAACTTCCTTTTGGCTAGACAGAAAACGACATGGCTGGCATCAAAAGGCATGTTTCAGCGAAATTCTTAGTTTCAAGTGGGTTAATAATAATAGTAATAATAATGCTGATAACGATGACGACTGACGACGATAATAACAATCGAAAACAGAGAAACTTATCCTTTAGTTCTGCAGTTCTGGAGTCCATTTTATTGCTGAATATACAAATAATTGGGAAGGTGAACAACCTTTGGTTCAATCTTTTGCACTCATATATAAGATATTTAATGGTCAGTTAACAAATACATTTGCATGGTCTTTAGTTAAACTGGGAATTACCAATTTACATTAACACCGAGAATTATACCTAAAAAGTTATACATCTGTACTTTTAGTAGTGTTACAAAGACTGCCGGGGAAGAGAATGGACCATAAGAACAAGTTTAAAATACAGCGAGGGTGATTAAATATGTTCTCCAAGTGTTAAAAAATTCTTAGCTTCGCCTTGAGTTTTTAAGAGCGACGTTCAGGAAAAATCGACCAAAATCTTAATTTCGTGGCAAGAGTTGAAAAATCAATTTATTTCATTTTTTGTTCATAGATAGCTGTTAGGTAGATAAGAAACCTAATGTAGATTGTTCCTGTCAAAAGCCTTTTATTTGCGAGAAAAATTAGAAGATCGGTTTTCGATGTCGGAGTCTCAGACTGCCCTAATTTGTAACCTGAAATTCGCTAACATCAACTTTCCTCGCGTTCGCAAACGAAGCAGCATGGAGAGATTTGGACACTTTCAATGAACAGAAAAATTATTCTTCTTCCATTAAAAGATACTTTCAGGGCAATAGCGAAGCTCGTCGTACTGAAATAATTAAAAAATGAGGGATAGGTTTTCAGGATGACAAAAACTTAAGTTCGTTACTCATTTTCGACAAAATTCTCTTCATGCTATTTAAATCACACATTTAGACATTCATTTAAAACATACCTGGGAACTGGCTTGGGTTATTGAAGGAAATCTCTGTAAGACACCATCGAAGTTCAGGAATTATCATTGTAGGCCGGCGGTAATTGTGTAAACACTTCCAATTTCGAAACGCGTAAAAGTAGATATTTACAGCCTAAAGGCTCGTTTTTCGTACTTCTTGTGGGTTTCCCATTGCAAAGTAGCTTTCTTCAACCAAAGAGTGGGGTAAAAAGGTGAAACTGGGTCAATTTTAGACACTTTGAGCCACTTTGAAACAATGAATTCTACCAGCCGGCGACTCTGCGTGACAATCTGTTCCGTGACTGCACGTGACATAACATACATTTGAAGAGACGGAGCCGTTAAAATGACAGTCACGGAATCAAGGTAGTAACGCAACGGAATTCTTGAAAGAGTAACATTTTCGATGCCGACAGTCAGTTTTGAAGAACAAAAAATCAAACGCACTAGTATTCTGGTACTCACTTTTTATCGAAAAATAAGGACTTTAACAATGGTAATTCGCTAAGGATGAGGGAACAGGAAGATATTTCTTCTTCTACTATCGAGGAAACTTGGTGCCGTTAAATAAGTTATTTTGGTCACGCTTCACTATATTTACCGGACTTCGATGCTTTCGTTTGGAGGCTGCCTTCAGGAACCCATGCCAGTTCTCAAGTATGTTTTAGATGAATGTCTAAATGTGTGAATAAACGAGGACTGGGAAAATTTGGAGCTATACCACAGGAAAAGTAATGCCGCAGCAAACAACTACAAAATTAAAGTTTTTGTCACCGTAAAAACCTGTTCTTCGTTTTTGAATTATGTCAGTTTAACGAGTCTTGATATCGCTATGAAAGTATCTTCTAGTGAAAGAAGAAGAGTTGTTCTATTGATGGAAAGTATCCAAA